TCTTTACTCCCTACTTAATGCATACAATTCAAATCTAATACAAAAGGACCTAATTGCCCTTGGTTCTCCTCCTTTTGGCTCCAAGATTGTGTTTGAAATTCAAGTGGACCCCACCCTTTTCTCCCTCATGGTGTCCGCCGGCCTCCTCCTGCTGTATGTGAACCGGACCGGCCCAAGGGTTTGGGCCGGCTGGACCGGTCCATAGAGGACCGGTCTAACAGATTTATGCTCGTTATTTTAGGAAGTATCACTATTGGCCTTAGTTAAGTGGGGGTAATGGGCTACTCATTTTTTTAGATATAAGTTTGTAATGACTATTATTTTCTAGCATAGTGCATACTCATTAATCATTAAACATATTCCTGCTCCAAAGACATAATATGAGAATATGATATGCATTTATTTTGAATGTTTTTTTAGCTTGTATTTGCTTGGACAGTTCTAATTCTTATGAAAATGGTATAGTGGTCTTTTATCATTCAATATGTTAAATTTGTTGCATATAGTCTTTCTGAAGTCCTAATTTTATTCACTTTGTGTCAATATATACAATTTGAATACCAATTTGGTTCATGTTTTCAATAGTCATAATTGTTTGTTTCATATAGTCATATTTCGAATCCATCAGGCTTGTCATGCGATAGAAAATTACTGTTCAAACTTACAAAAAAATTCTATGGTGAGACCTGCAATGCTTTATGGCGTAGAATGTTGGCCAAAGATAAGCATAAAGTTAAGTGTTGCAGAGAAGAGAATGCTAAGGTAGATGAGTGGCCTTACACTTAAGAGACGGCATGCAAAACGAGTATATACATGAAAAGATTGGAGTAGCTCTAGTGGCATATAAGAGTAGAGAGAGTCAGCATAAATGGTTTGATCACATAAAACGTCAGCCTTCCAATGACTCGGTTATGAGAATAGATGTATTAGATCTGGCCTATGTTAAGTAAATGTAAAACTAAAAAAACTTGGGTAGAAAGCATCATAAATGACATTTTATTATTACATTTAAATGAAAATTTAAGTCTTAATAAGACATAATGAAAAAAAATGATTCATATAGCTGATCTCACGTAGTGAGATCAAGGTTTGATAGTGTTGTTGCTATTGTTATTGTATAGTCCTATTTCTTATTTTTTTTATTTCTTCATATGAGACATCATTAACATGAAAGAAACAGTTTCTCGTAGGTGCAATGTCCGTCTTCAAATAAATGTTCAAGTCAGCCTCAAGTTCAAAATACACCTACTTTGATTAAAAGTGTGGAATACTTTTATTGTTGAAAAAAGGAGAAAAGATGTAGGTCAAAGTTCTAGCAGTATTTTAATCTTTTTCTTATAAATAAAAAAAAAAACTACAGAGAAATAAAAAATTAACTATTGAGATATGTCCTGTGTGAAACAAAAATTAGCAAAACATCTCAGGTAAGACACTTTAAAACTATTCATCGAGGATAATGAATTAATCTTCCCATTGTCTTAGTCGTTTATGATATTTTAGAACTAAAAAAGGGGTTACATAAATGCCACTTTATATCATGCTATTTACATATCTATCACCTAAAATTTTAATATTTCATGATTACCACCCATAGAAAAAATATGTGTGAAAGGAATGAAATATTGAAGTTTATAGGGTGGTATTAGTGGTAGGAATGAAATATAGAAGTGGCATATTTGATATTAATGTTGTTTATAGGTGATATGTATTAAATATTAAAATTTTGGGTATTAGATATATAAATAGTATGATATGAAGTGATATATATGTAAATATCCCTTAAAAAATCATACCCCTTAAAAAATCATTACAAAGATGAACATTGTAGATGAATATCCCTTAATGACAAGAACAATAATAGTTTGATATTAAAACGAAATCAATAAACCCTAAATACGCATGATTTCAGAATTTACTATTAAAAAAGAGTGAATGAAGTTTTTTGAAGATCAAAATAAAAAAATTTGAAGTTAATAGAGAGTGTTTCACTGACTATTGAATGTTGGACTTCAAGTCAAAAATTAGTTATGTGTCGAAACATAAATTATATAAGTTTATGAGGGACACTTCAATCTAGGATTATTAGTTTTATTAATTTAGATCCTCCACACAGTGGGGTTGTAATTACTTAGGTTATTGCTGAAAGTTTATTATAATGGAGCATCAAAATAAAGTTAGCACAAACACTTTAAAAAATGCATCAACCTATGACCGATAGAAAATTGAAGACATTATTTAGTAGAATATTAAGTTATCAATTATGGGCAATTTTTTTCATGAGTCATTCAAATTTGATGGTAAAAGATGATATAAAAAATCACTGAAGTATATGAGAAGGTTTGAGAGTCAAACTTGTTCACAAAGAGGTTTGTAAGTGATTTGCACAAATTCGGCAATATTTCAAGATGCTATGCACTATAAAATTGTTATACATTGACATACCAACACGCTTGAACACCACTTCCAAAATGTTTTTTATGATTTATATAATATATTAGATACTAAGAATGATAAAAGATGTATGTAAAAGTTAGTCAAGCAAAGAGATGTGAGAAGGATCTATTTAAAGTGAAGTGCACTAAGGATGAAGATTAAAAAGTATTTCCTTAGAAGAGGCTGTTCAAGTGGATGAGATATATTGATAAGCTTTTCAATAAAGATTGTGAAAATACAATTGACTTTAGTAATCTTAGCACCCTAAATGAAAATAGAGAATTTTTTTTATCATCATATTAGTAAATCGAAGTTAGAAAAAACTTTAAAGAAATTGATGTGTAAAAAAATAATTGAATATAATGATATTCTGATAGATGTATGAAAATGTTTAGAAGATAAAAGAATTTATTAGCTTACCAAACTTTTTAATATTAGACTAAAAATATGTCAGATAAGTGGAGGAGTGTGTTGGTTCATATTTTTAAGAATAAAAGTCATGCACAAGAGTGTGCGAGTTATAGAGGAATTAAGTTAATGTATCATACATTAAAACTATGGAAGAGAGTAATTGAGCATAATTTATGATATAATACTAATGTTTCCCAAAATCAGTTTGGAGTCATACCGAGCAGTTCTACTATGAAAGTTAAACATTTATTGAGAGGTTTGATGGAGAAGTACAGAGAGAGTAAAGAGTAGTTACATATGATATTTATCATGAGAAAAAGATCAAATGGTCCACTGACTCTTTATGAAGAACTAAAATGGTCCCCAACTATTTGAAATGACCATTTTGGTCCCTCGATTCTTTAAAGAATTTTGATTCCTCTTTAAAAGGTTGAGAGATTAAAATGATCATTTAATATAGTTGGGGATCATTTTGGTCTTTTATAAAGAGTCAATTAACCATTTTGATCATTTTCTCTATTTATCATTCAGTTGTCCTTTCATTTCAAGCCATGTATGTATTGGTTTCCTCCCTAATATTCCCCAATGTTTATACACATCAATACATTTTAGCTTGCTGAATTAATTTCAATTTTACAAATCTCATTTGACCCTCACTAAAAATTATTTGTCATTCAAATAATATATATATATATATAACAAACTATATATATCCTTTAAATAATAAAAAAATAGAATGCTCCCCAAATGGATAAGTCAAATGTCAATTAATCAGAATCAACAGCCGCAGCCCATGCTAGACCCATCCACTTAAACTGAACCAACAATGAAGCGAACCCAGAACAAAGGCAAACAATACCAAAGAAGAATTAATAACAAAGCATACATCCCGTTCTCATGGGGAAGTTATCAAAACATGTTCTTAAGATTCTCAAATAAAATGAAATTACTACTATGAAATAAAGAAATTAAAGTAAAACAGTCCCCAAGTCATCAAATTGCTAATTTGCTTATTTTAACGCATATATTTGCACTTTCAAAGAGTATAAACTTCAGCACTTTGCCAGTTAGGCTCGTTCCAATTTTTAAATTGTCAGAGTTGATGGTTTGGAGTTTCATGAGAGCAAAATTATGCCAATCAAACAATCTTCATAAGCTGAAACAAACTGATTTACTCATTGGATTCATGTTTATTTCCAAACCAAAATATGAAAGTGAATTAGATTGTTCAAGCTCGCGCAATTTAAATAATCAGTTTTGGATTAAATACTTACATGAACGCATAAACCCATTTCACTCATACAAGCAAACATGCATTACATATAAGTATGCAAGACAAAGAAATAATTTTGAATAACTAGACACTAGTTAATTTTTTTTTTTTAACTTATAAATACTCAAAACCCTATCAAACCTGAACAACTGTAATTTTTTAAATTTCATTCCAAAGATCAAAGTGATAGATCACAAAAAAAAGTACACAATTTAGTTGAAAAGTGCAAATAATTACATACATAATATCAAGGAAACAATGATAAGCTTTAACAAAAAATTTATGAACCTTGCCAAATGGACCTGAGTAAACATCAAGTCTAACAACAAGAAAGGACACATAACAAGGAGATGAGTGCTAAGTTTTCTACACATTTTCTTGAGGGTATCAAATTTAGGACAAAATCAACTTATAAAAAGATGATAAAAAGCAAGTAAAAGTTTTACTTCCAGTGTGGAAAGCATCTAAAAGGTACAACAATTTCATCTAGACTATCACCATTAGAAATGAAGCATAGTCAATAAATTCAGCAATAGCAGCCTGCTTAACTTTATAGCCCAAATATCTTTTGCATAAAAACAATACATCTACCCAGAATCATGCTCGTCCATTCGTTGTTGTTTTAGCAAAGACAATGTTCTTTACTTTAAAGCGTCTCTAAGATTTGATCATCGCATTCTAAACAATCAAATAAAGTACAAGCAATCTCTAAATTACTTTCAATAAGCATACGCATTCTTTTTTTACCCATGTACACACTTCATTATTACCTATGTAAAGCTTGGTCATGCTACAATATTGCAGAAAATATTTAGGATATACTTCAACCAAATGAACACCAAAAAATTGTGTTGTTAAGGATATAGAAAACAAAGAATGGCACCTTTACTCACTTCTGGCTTTCCATGGAGTTTCATCATTGTAGGTATAGAAGGTCCATATATATCAGCATCCAGTAAGCCAACCTTCAGTTGGTATGTCTTAGCAAGTGCCACAGCCAGATTAACTGAAAAATAAGGAGTTTTCTTTTAAAAGAGCAATCACTGCAGCAACATGAAAACATATCAGCATGCACAATACATTCTTATTTTTATAAAATTATATTTGCAACAGAATTAAATTTATGAAAATTTGATTTGAAAATTCTTAAGATTCAAAAATCGCCCACTACATGTTTTAGCATAGACAAGCGTTCAACAAACAATCTAAAGGTAATTTAGTAAGGTGAAACAAAAAAGATTCTACAAGTAAAGAGAGCAAAGCATCCCAATAAAATGGACAGAAACAAAAACAACAATGGTTCCTGCAAAAGATAACCTTTGAAGCTCTTTTAAGGAAGCAAAGAAAATCTTTGAACAGGTAAGATGGCGGAACAATAGCGCGAGTGCAGGAGCAGCAGTAATTTGTTGTGGACCCTTCTCACAACATTGTGACAGGAAGTTAATCCAACAATTTTTCGGCTTATCAAAAAATATATAGTTATTTTTTCTCTTTTTTGTACGAGATGTTTAAAAGCTGTGTGCACTGTGCTGTAATGTTCAAATATCAACATAAAAATCCTACTGTTGGGACTTTCACAACAGTTGGACCAGGATCCATAGCCATTATCTTATTGTTTTTCAAATTTAACTTGATTCTGAACTTTTATAAGAGCAAAAGTTTTATAACTTTTATTCAACATAATAACCTTAATTATGTGAAAAAGGAATAACCATTTATTTGATTAAATCGCTATTGTATCCCTTAATATGGAAGGACATTAAGAACATCAGCTTTGGTTTAATAAAATTACCACTTTCTCATTTTAGTGCATAAAGGATATTGAACATTGAGTGTGGTGCAAATGCAACTATCTAGTTAGAGTTTGTGTACATCAACAGACAGATTTACTTTATTTGATGATCTATTTTATGATGTTACATTCCATCTACATAATTTTATATTGATTTCGCTAGTGAAAGAAACTTTAACTAAAAACTAAAGCAACTAGATTTACTTATTACGCCATCCTTCTTGATAGAAGAATGGTTTTTTTTTTTTATGTTTATAAATTCCCAGTGAAATTTCTTCCGTTTAAGAGATTATTAAATTATCAGTTTATTTTTGGTATTATTGGTTAAGTCAATTTTTTTGGCATTAGTTAATTGACGGTCTTTAAACTATGAATTTTGGCTCTTGATTAATTGAGTTTTATTTATCACATCATTTAGTTACATAAGAAATCTCAGGCCCTAAGGCATCCTACTTCATATGGCCCATTTAATCAATATTGGCCCTAAAGTCCATAGGACCATGCAGATATGGGCTTTCACTTCTAGGCTTTCTCACAATCATCTAAACAAATAGCTGTGAAGGAAATGAAACAAGTATTCCTAACAAGTAGAAAAAATATTTTCAGAGATCATCAAATAAATAATTCATGTAGCTTTGTTCCTACAAGCTTTCATGGTAGTCACTTAAAATATGAATTTTGTGAGTGTGCTGGTGTATGAGCATGATATTTAGAAAACAAAAACCCAAAAAAAATGAAAATTAATGCATCCTTAGATAAAGCTTAGCAGCTACTCTTCCTTTCAAAAACATTTCATATCAAAATTATAACATGTCTGACAAATGCAAAATGAAAAGTGATATAGGGCATGCACTTATCAAAAATTCATGAATGTAAGTGATACATTTTGATGTAGGCAGGGGGGATCAATTCATCTTGATCCTCTTGTCCTTGGGCTGCTTGCTGTTCTCGGATTGGGGATGTTTGCTGCTCTCGGATTGGGTCTTTGGCTGCTTGGTGTTGAGCTTAAAAATTGGGTTCGACTTAAGTCTAGCTCATTAATTCTTGAGTTGATGTTTAGCTCATTAAAATGAGTTAAAATTTGTGTCTCTTCCCCTTCCCCTTGTCTTCTCGGTTTTCCCTTGGGCTGCTTGCTGTTTTCGGTTTCTGCTAGCTGTTGGTGTTCCCATGGTCACTCCCTCTCGGTTTTACCCCTCCTGGCTGTTTTCCCGTGAAGTGTTGCCATGTTTCCTATGTTGGCTCTTCGGATCCCTTGCCGGTTGGGCTTCCCGTGGCTGCTGGTTGGGTTTTCCGTGGCTTCTCTCCCTGTTTTCTATGCAGAATTTCTGATGGCTGTTATGTATCTTTTGGCATTCCTCTTCCCCTTAATTATTGGTTTCAACTGACTGTTTGTCTCTCCTTTCTCTCCTATAAATTTGTGGATGTTTTAGAGTATTAGGGGATGATAAAAAATGGTATTTTTGGATAAAACCTGAGGGTTTTTGGAAAAGCTTGCGAGCTTGTTCCTCTTCTTCTTCTACTACTACTTGGGAAGGCTTGCGAGCTTCTCCTATCTTCGTCTTGGACTTCTTGCCTCCTTCTTCTCGCCACAAGTGCCACTCCATATGTATCTTTCTTCTCAAGCAAGGAAATGCAAGTTTAGGTGTCTTTATTGTGTCATTTGTAAGTGTCAAAGTTTGTAAGTCATTTTATTTTATAAAGAGAAGTTGTTTTGGTTTGTCTTGTCGTATTTTGCCTAGTTTTGAGTAATTTGTGTATTTAAGTTTAGCTTTTCCTTGCAAAAATTTGGGGCCCTTGCAAAAATTTGGGGCCCTTCCCAAATTTTTGCTCGCATCACATTTCAAGGAAGCAACTTCTTATCTGAGTGTTGATGGCTTTATTTTATAATTCAAATCAAACAATGAAACATGGCAACACCATAGTAATAAAATGAAGCCTGAGCATGATAAACCTTTGGCTATTGAACCATGAAGGCTTATTAGTTGTTTTCCTTTTTGTGAATTTTGCATAAGTTCTTCAAATAAAGTTAAACTGGCCTGTCAATTTTTGAAAAATAATATGATTCAACCATGAAAACTGTCACCCAATGCATCAAAATAATATGCTCAATCATCCTAATTCATCTAGTATTCAATGTTTGAAAATCAAATTACTATCATCAATAATAGCCTTTCCCTAACCATTTGGGTTCAGCTTTATGATCACTCCTCATTTATTCTTTCCTACGAAGTACAGAATGAGGGTAAACTCTAGCTTACCCAAACTTCTAGGTATGTGCTCACATCATCTAGTCATCTTACAGTTGCATTTTCCATCCATTGTTGTATATGATCAGACCACCTAAGTCTATTTTTCACAACCTACTATTTAATAGGTGCAACTCTTATCATCCCTTAAATAATCATGTCTCCCTTGATCCTTCTTAATGTTACCACATATCCACCTCAACACTTTTAGTACTTTTATTTCTAACACACCCAATTTGGCTACCAATGACTTTTTTATTGCTCAACATTCAAATTCATATAGCATGTCCAACCTAACTGTAATTGGATTAATTATAACTTTAAGTTTCAATGATACTGTCATATTATATAATAATATAACTCACTTCACAATTTTAAGCATGCCAAAGTTATAAATTTTGAAAAGTAGAACCACCTGAATTTTCACAAATGGAATTATCTTCCATGGCCTCCTTTAATCTACGTTCCTAAGTGGAATAAACGCCCTTCTTCCTCAGTTTTTAACTTTGAAATTATAATATAAAAAGGGTCAGTTGGCTATACATGCCACACTCACTTTCATATAGTGGGTGCTATACATTTATCAAGACATATGGCTAACATAATTTGTGGAATTAGATGAAGTTGGCTGCTCGCCAAACCCAGCCTACAAAATTAGAAATTCAAGTATGACATTAACTTTTTGGTCAACTTTTAGATTTGTCGTCATTACTAGACTGGTCACCCGTTCCTGAATGACTTACAAAAAGCTAATTAGTTGAAAATTAGGTAGGTTTTAATGCCTCTAGTAGCATCAACCAAGTTTGGGTAGTAACACTGATGTGCAAATTTAGTCATCATAAAAATCTATTAACCCTAAATCCTAATGATGCTAGTTTCTCTTCTTGCAATGAATATCAACAGTGACATTAAAAAAAATTATAAGCAAAGTTGTTAGCATTCAAGAGATAATGGTTCTTTACATGACAAAGTTCATACTTGTGAAGGCATCAGCACTTACTTCCTAAAAACCTTGTTTGCTTCCCGTGAATAACATACTTGATACTTCCTGCTTGATGATAAAGCTTATTGCTTCTCACACAATCGTAAACTCATTAGATCACCAATTCTTTCACGTTGTTGAGCTGTCTTAACTCAATGCACAGTAAATAAATCCTACGGTAGCTTCACAGCTTTTCTCCAGCTATGTAACTGACCCAAGTAACATTATCACTTCTCCAAATCATGATCTTAGGTGAATTTTTCTCGATCCTTATTGTCTTTTAAAATAGCATTCAAATTAATGAAGCAGTATTCAGCCATAAACACAAAAAAAAAAAAAAAAAAAAAACATTAACATGTAATTCCATAAGCATAGCCCCAAAGTTCTTAAATATCCTTGGATACCGAATACAAAGCAACACAAATGTGGAATTATTATTTGAATAACGCAAAACCTAATGTAATACAATCCCTGCATGGAGCGGAAAAGAGATGCACCGCAGAAGAAAAGGTAAAAATTGGGTAACCTGCAGTAGTCGATTTCCCCACGCCGCCTTTCCCCGAAGCAACGGCGACGATATCTTTAATCCCATCAACTGAGGAACCCTCAGTTGCAGCTGTCGTACTAAACCCTCCCACCGTTTTGGATGCCTAACCAAACCATGAGCAAGTATAAACAAAAAAAAGTGCAGCAGAAAGGCCATGGAAGATGAAGAATAAATGCAGGAGGTTTAGTCCGGTCGCCGCACAGTGATTCTCAGACGATACAGTGCTCTAGCATGTATAGCGGCCATGGAATGGCTTTATTTCGATTCTTGATCGAACTCGCTTCGAAAGCGTCGGGAACGAGGGATCAGAAAAGAACAGCGCCTCACGGCCCTCACCTATCATGAAGGTCAACAATTTCGGTTTCGGTTTCGGTTTCGGTTTCGGTTTAGAAAATGTTTCGGGTAGCGTTTTTTATTACTAAACAAAACGAACTTTGTTAAACAAAGTAATATTTGACTTTATAAATCATAATAACCCAAAATTGATTAAACATACCCTTTATTTATTTTATTACAGAAATATGTTTAAACATTTACTTTGGACTATAATAACACAGTTATATGCCTAAACTTCCGAATGAGAAGCCACTCGGCGCTTCCTCGTCCCAATATATTCTTCATCTTTAGTGATCTCAGAGCACATGTGATCAATGTGGCAAAAATGACACCATAATAAACTTTGGTTTTTGTGATGTTATATATTTGATCATTGAAGTTCTAAATGCATCATACACATCATAAACACAAATTTCATAATGACATTAGCATCACATTACCTACTACAGGCATCTTAGAGTCTTATTTGAACTTTCAAAGAAGGTTACATTACGTTCAAACAAGATTCATATAAGGGTTTTAATCTTATCTTAATCATGTTTGAACTTCATTTGAACTATGTTTGGAGTTGAAACCCAATTTTGAATATATTTGAACCATATTTAAATCATATTAATACAAGGTTTAAACCTTGTTCGAACAATATTTGAACATTCTTTGAACTTCAATAAAAAAAAATGTGTTTTGAGGAGAACTTTAGGGTTTTTCGTTCTCCTCCGCGTTCCGCCACCATATGGGTAATCTCTTCGTAGTCTCACTCGATTCTCTTGCTTTTTCTCTTTTTCGTTATTTGGTTGGGTGGATATGGCCGTTAATCGGCTTATTAATCCCGGATTTCTGGACGATAAAGCGAAAGCTCATTCTTTCCGGGAAGTTCTATCGGTGTCTTCTTCCCCGCCGGAATTTCTTGACCTCAAAATCACCTCTTGTAATGGTCTTCCTTCTCTCTGGATTTATGATGATGAGATTTTGGCTTTGGCTGATCCGTCTGAGTTTGCGTTGATTGGAAAATTTTCTGATCATCGCCCGGCACTAGACTTTATTCGCAATTTTTTTTCAAGCTTAAGTTAAATGGTGATTCACGGTGCTTAACTCAAAGAATGTTTTGATTAAGCTCATGAACGACCTAGACTATTGTCACATTAGTCTTGTCACATTTTTTCGCACCGTTCTTACTTCGTTAATAACTGCTTTATGAAATTATTTTAAGTGTTCTCCCCACTTTGATATCAATGTCGAGTCTCCTGTTATCCCAATCTGGGTTTCTTTCCCTAATTTGCGTCCGCATCTTTTCTCCCCTCGAGTGTTTCATGGCCTCGGTACCTTGTTTGGTCGGCCTCTGCGTACTGATAATACCACATCAACTAGAACAAGGCCTTCTGTCGCCCGCATTTTGGTGGAATTAGATGCTACCAAGCGCTATCCGGATCATGTGTGGCTTGGTTCTGAGAAGATGGGTTATGCTCAACAGGTGGTTATGGAGGAATTTCCATTTTATTGTTCGCATTGCAAGGCTTTGGGTCATTCTAACGTTGGTTGTCTCATATTACACCCTCATTTAGATGTTAATCCTGAGGTTACTGTAGAGGTGTTACCGGATCAGAATTTGGCTGTTTATATTGGTAATTTGTCGGTTCCTGAGGTTAATTTAACTGAGAATGCTCCTTCTGTTTGCGATGCTTTGTTGTTTGTTGAGCCGGTTGTTATGTCTCCCGAGGTGTTTACCCCTTTAATCGGTAATGAGGTTTCTAACTTAATTTGTTTGGGTGCTCCTAAGGCTTTAAGTGAGGGTGGTTTTAGTCCCATTAGTTCCCCTACGTTTTCCTCTACCCCTTTAGTCGTGGACTATTCGAAGGGAGCGAATTTTGTTGCCTATGGGTTGATTGCCCATGAGTCTTCTGGCTCTGCTCACTCTATCTCTCACCCAAATTCTCATGCTTTGGATGTGTCCTTTCACCCAAACGATGAGGTTTTTGCTTGTGCTGAAATTCCTTTAGTTCCTTCCCCGGTGATGCATACTGGCCGTCTGGTGGAGGTTGCTATTAATTTAATATCTCATGAGACTTTGGTTACACACGTCGGTGGTAGCTCAGGGGAGGTTGTTAGGATGCAAATAGATTGGATTGATTGTTCGTCTGCTTCCTCCTCGGAGGTTGATGAAATTGAATGTTTTGATCAGCAGGATGTGCGAGTTGGAAATGGGGTTGGTAAACATAGAAAGCGAAAAGCCAATAAATAGCTTGTTTGCTGATTTTATTTTGCGATATGTCCCTTATTGGCTTATTATCTGCTGCTGCCTCGATTATATTTGATTTTTTCGGGGCAATGATGTTGTTGTGGCTCACCACTCCAAATCTGTGATTCGTTGGCAACCTTTGGTGGTGTTTTTTGGAGCTTCCACTGATGACGGTGATTTGGAATGGCGACGATGTTTTGTTCCTTACCTCCTCTGGATGGCCCTTACCTGGCTTCGGAGTGGTTGGAAGTCTTTGCCGATTATTGAACTCGTTGGCCTTTGCTGCCTTGTTTAGCCTTTTGGTCTTTTCTATTATTTTCTTTCATTGTATTGGGTTTTCACTCCTTTCTGCCATTGATTGGTCATCTCTTTTTATTGGAATAAAAATTTAGTTAAAAAAATAAAAAATAAAAAAAAAATATTCTTTGAACTTTATTCAAACCAATTTCAATTTCTTTCGACATTAAATAAGTAATCCACTATAAAAGCAGCGTTAATTTGGTCTAAAATGAACAATTGAGAATGATTTCTTCAAGAGAAAAAAATTATAAACCCTCGCCATGTGCAGCCCGTCAATCCACTGTCCCGTGCCGGATCGGGTCAACCCGAAAACTCGATGGGTCTGGTCCGGTCCGCATTTCTGACCCATTAACATACTCAGGTCAGGTTAGGGTTGACCCGTTTGAACACGGGTCAGTTCCGGATTCAACCCGAACCCGACCCGGTTTTAACACCCCTAGGTTTTGGTTAATTGCAACTATTATGAGGATTATAAATTCAAAATTCCCTTTTAAAATTGATATGACTACAATTGATTTAAAAAAATATTAATTCAAATTTCGAACCTGATTACTATTATTTTTTAATAATTAGTTTTGATATTTATATATTTCATAATCATATCAATTATTTTAATAACAACATTTAAATATTAATAAGTGATAATAAATATTTTTTATTTAAATAATCACACTCAACATAAATACATAATAGTAATCATTACAGAAAAACTAACAATTTTTTACGATATTTCTGGTAGAGTACTCATTGTCAAAATTAGCGACAGAAATATGGAGGAATTTTCCAGCATAAATCTCCATTGGAAAATCTATCGGAAAGAGCCCTACTTCACTGTTTCGTCTATTTGTCCGTTAATTCACGCAAAAAAGCTCCAGATCTTGGGTTTTCAAGTGAAATAGCTGCTCAGTTCGCCCCTCGGTCCCAACTACTTCTAGACACCATTCCTAGGGAAAATTATTTAGTCCAGACACCGGACCTAGAAATAGGTGTGGATATCCAATAAAAATTTGCCATGTGGACTATGCTTTGACTTTGCGCTTTGACTGCATTTTCACTGTGCTTTACCTGTGCTTTTGACGCGCTTGACTTAAAATTCCCAGGACACGCGTACATTCCACGTGGCAAATTTTTATTGGATATCCGGACCTATTTCTACGTTCGGTGTCTGTACCTAATAATTTTCCCATTCCTAGATGATTTTTCTCCGTTCCCCTTCCTCTCGAAGTCCGTTGATCCTCTCTGCTTGTTGTTCACCTTGACGGACATGTTTAGTAAGATTTCTCCGTATATAGTCTTGCTTGGCAACTGTTCTCCATTTTAATGAATTTGGGATTGGTTTTTATTATGCTAGAGGCCTTTTTTTATGTAGTGAATCATACAATATTTATTGTCCAATTTTATATACAAAGACTTAGATATTTTTTTTTATTTGCATATTTATCTACTTGTTTAGCTTACATATTATACATATTTTTAATGATCCCATGCTATAGTTTTTTTACTCTTGTTATTTCTCTAAGTATGATTAAACTTTTAAATACTCACTTTTTTCATTGTCTTTATGCTAACAATAAGCTTTCAAGTTACATCACTTACAAACTTGCTTAATCATTTAATCTCAATTATTTATCACTTAATTGTACAGTGTATGTAATTGTATATTTATTTGTGTAATTATTCATTTTTGTGTGTTTAATTATGAGTGCATTGAATTTGACAGTTTTAAAAAGTTTATCAGTATAGATCCACACCTAATTCAACCTCACTTGGCACCTTTAAGCCAACAAAAATATTCCTCATATGAAAATTCTATTAAGAATATCCCATAAAAAATTATAGAAATGCAATTTTACACATCATGAAAGGTCCTAAATACAAATATCAAGTTCATGTCTCTAGATTCAATTCATACTAATAGATAGGAGTGCAAATGAGTTGGGTCGAGCCCGAGTCAAGCCTAACTCGAGCTCAACTAGCGAGCAACATCCTGAGCTCGAACTCAAGTCAAACTCAAAAGGCGAGTTCAAGTCACTGAAAATGAGCTCATCAAGTGGCTCATTTTTTTGAATCGATCACGTATAGGTTCGTGAACATGATTCACGTTCTGCATGTGCAGAGGTTCACCTGTATAGACTTGGCAGAGGTTCGCCTTCCGCATGCACATAGGTTAGCAAACATGCTTCGCCTTCCATGCGTTTGGCAATTCTCTTTCTCCTAATGAGCCACTCGACAAGCAATCGAGCCGAGCTTAATATGAATCAAACTTGAGCTCGATAATCCAACGATCTCAAAACTCTGCTTGGCTTTAGCTCAAAACTTAATAATCTTGACTCGTTAGCTCTTTAATGAGTCAAGCTCGAGCCAAATCGCTAGTCGGCTTGACTAATTTGCACCCCTAGTCATAGATTTAATAATTATGCTAAGATACACTATATTAGCTCTCTACCACTAATAAGAATTATGTTGCTACTGAATTGATGCAGCAACCA